AAAAAAAAAAAAAGCAAATTAATTGAAATATATAATTCAATATATTGAAGTATAATCAAGCATTAAAGTGTACTGTTCACCAGTAAAAAAAAAAACCAACTGTTAATATTAAAAGAACTAATATTTGCTAGTAGATAATTAAGTATTAAATTTCATAATAAACTGTGGTCCTATTTAGGCAAGTGCTTAAAAACTTTTTTTTCATAAATATATTTTTGACATACTTACCTAAAAAAAAAAATGTGCTTCATTTGTATGAAATTCCATCAATTTCCCTATTTTACTTATCTAAAACATATTTATTCAGATTAGTTAAGATTATATCTGACATATTATATTTTCCCAGTGCTAAAAAAGGGAAAAAACAATTTCAACTTATTTTTCAACCTCCATTTCGAGGAAATCTAAATTCCATTATTAGTGAGCTGTTGAACTTAACAGTATTTGAGCATGCACAGTATGCTGAGAAGAATGTATGATGAATTCAGAAATCCAATCATATCATTTTCATATCAACTGGCTTCTGAAAATACAATGAAAGCATTCCTTTGTACACTCTACTATTAATTAAATGAGACCTAATTATTATACTTTTTAAAGACTTTGATGATTATTCTCAGAGTCATCATGTAATAAAGGATATTTAGAGTTGCTAAGATTTTCTCCCCAGATATATTTACTCCCCACCATAGTTATATCACTAGTGAAAGATTTCATCAATGTTTTTACTTTTAAAAAAGACCATAAGGCAGCTTCAAAAAATAAAATCCCAAAATATGAAATTTAACTCTTACCTCATGCATAGTGAGTAGGTAATTAAGAATCGCCTGTAGTTCATCTTCTTTCACTCCAGAATCCTTTAAAAACATAATACAAGTATCTTATACTTGCATATAAAAATTTTTTTAAAACAGGAAAACATATGCATAAGATTTGTCAACTTGGCAGTTACGATAAATATAAAAAGAAAACAATAGAGAAACTACATTTAAACTAAAAACTGAGGAAAACAGCAAAGATATTCATTATTAAAGACTATAAAAGTCAAGAGATAGACATCAGTATCCTGTTATCAGTACATTATATAATACAGTAGCCTTTCTTGCAAAGCTACAGTGTCCTGAAGCAAAATAATAATGATAAATAAGAGTATGATCTATACCTATCACTCCTCTAAATACAGAAGACAAATTTTATATTTATAGTTCCTGCTAAAAATGGAAAGCAAATGAACAGTTTCTAAACCTACCAAGTTAAAATATAAGGTACTAAAACTTGACACTGGGAAAAACACTGTGCTTTTAAATATGAATTCAGTATGAAAATTTTCAATCTATTCTATCAATGTATTAAACATAAAGCAAAAATGAAATCTCAAAAAAATCCATAAAAGAAAACAAAACATAGTAGGAAAAAATAGAAAACAGACATTTCAAAGGAAAATTTTCATTATAAATGGAAATAAGGTATCTGAGTCTGAGAAATATACTGAACGTTAGGACCACTTACCATATCATATGACAGCTAATAAAGCATTAAGTGCTCAAAAATAAAAAAATGATATAGAAAAATACTGGCAAAAAATACATTTATATATTGTCATAAAATCAAAAGACTGCCCATAAAAATAATAATTTTACTTACCTATAAAAGAGTGAAATGGAATAAAATGACATTATTTCTAAAGATTAAGACATTCATCTGGTATATTTATATAGGAACATTATTTCTCCAAATCTGAATTTAAGGTACAAGGAGCCCCCTAAAAAGGGTACCTCCTTGAAAAGCTTAGTTGACTACTATATCACCAGCGCCAAAACCAATACCTAGTACTTAACAGAAACTCAGTAAATATTTGAAGAATGAAATAATGAATACACTTGAACTCCTAGAGAAATTCATGTAACATATATTATAGCTATCAATCTTCAATTCTGAAATAATATATATCCATAAATGCTCAAGAACTAAAAAGCACATGGAAACAGATATCTTTCAAAGTATTTTCTAATATGTAACCAAGTAACAAAACAAAGAATAGGTAAACTAAGATTATATTTTATGTGAAATTATAAATCACAATATATAGCACATTATAGGAGAAGAAATATGAACTCACCTTCATCACTAATTGCTTAATGAACATCAACAATAATGCTCGTAGAGAAAGTATTTCTTTCTGATTAGGTCGTGGTCCATCTTTAAAAAAATGCATATACAAATACACATATATATATATATACACACACATACACACATACACACACACACTATTACTTTCAAAGATCTCAAGCTAAATATAAAATTCTTCTTCCCAATAGTTTTTCAACTTATTTATAAGAAACATAAAGACTGATCTCTTAGGTTTTATACCTCAAGGTAAGCATTCACGACTGAAGGGAAGATAAAGAGTTTCCCACACAAGCAAAAGCTAAACAAGTTCATCACCACCAACCCAGCTTTATAATAAATATTGAAGAGACTTCTTTTAGCAGATAAGAGAAGGCTGTAACTAGAAATAAGGAAATACGTAGAAGAAAAAAATCTCACTGGTAAAGTAAAATGTGTAAGAAAGGTAGTAGATCTTACAAAGCTAGCATGAAAGCTAAAAGACAAAAGTAGTAAAATCAACAATACCTACAATTAACTGAGGGATACACAAAACAAAAGCATGTAAAATATGACAACAAAAACAAAATGAGGAAGGAGTAAAAATCTAATGCTTTTAGAATGCATTTGAACTTAAGCATTCACCAACTTAAAATGGACCGCTAAATATGTAAGATGTCATATAAGAACCTCACAGTAATCACAAAAAATAATCTATAACAGAAAAACAAAAATAAAGAGAAAGAAATACAAATGGCTAAAGAAAGTCATCAAACCACAAGGGAAGAAAGCAGAGAAGAGGAAAGGAACAGAGAAGAGGTAGAAACAACAAGAAAATAATTAACAAATTGGCAATGTATACATACCTATTAATAAAAACAAGACATAGTGTAATTGAATAGATTTAGAAAAACAGGACCCATCTATACTCTGTGTAATACTCAGATCTAAAGACACATACAGACTGAAAGGGAAAGGATGGAAACATACTCCATTCAAATGAAAAACAAATCTGGGGTAGCAATACTTTGACAAATTAAACAAAGACTGTGTAATATGAAACAAAGAAGGGCATAACATACAAATAATGGGATCAATCCAACAAAAGGATATAACAAGTATAAATGTTTAAGTACCTAACAAAGGAGCACCTAAATATATATAACACAAATCTTAACAGACACAGGGAGAAATTGATAGTCATACAATAAAAGTAAGAGAATTTAACACCCTACTTACATCAATTGATTGGTCATCGAGACAGAAAATAAATAAGGAAGCCATCTTCTAACACATTAGACAGATGGACTTCAGAGATATACACAGAACACTAAATCCCAAACAGCAGAATATACATTCTTATCAAGCACAGATCTATTCTCCAGGATTGATCACCTTATGCCAAAAAACAAGTCTCAATAAATTTAAGGAGAATGGAATCATATCAAGCATCTTTTCCAACCACAACAGTATAAAGCTAGAAATCAATTATAAGAAATAAAAACAGAAAAGATACAAACACGGGGAAACTAAACAATAAGCTACTAAATGACCAATACAACAATGAAGAAATCAAGGAATAATCAAAAACTACATTGAAACAAATGAAAATGAAAACATAATATTCCAAAATCTTTGTGATACAGCAAAAGTAGCTCTAAAAAGGAAAACTATAGCAATACAGGTTTTACTCAAAAAAAGCAAGAAAAATCTCAAATAAACAACAAATCTTACAAATAAAGTAACTATGAGAGCTACAGCTCAATCTCAAAGAAATAGGAAATCTGAACAAACCAATTAATAGTAATGAAATTGAATCAACAAAAAATGCCCAACAAACAAAACAGGATTAACCATGAATTCTAACATTTAAGATTATTTAATACCTATCCTTCTCATACAATTCCAAAAAATTGAAGAGGAATTCTTGCAAAGTCTTTCTATGAGGCCACCATTACCCTGATACCAAAACTATACAGATACTGGAAAAAAGAAAATTATAGGCTAATATTCATGATCAACACAGATGTGTAAGTCCTCAACAAAATATTAGCAAACCAAATTCAAAAATACATTAAAAGGATCACACACCTTGATCAAGTAGAATTTATTCCAGCATGCAAGCATAGTTCAACATCCACAAATGAATCAACATGATACATCACAATAACAAAAACAATGATGAAAGGCATACAATGACCTCAATAAATACAGAAAAAGCACTTGACAAAATTCAACTCTCAACAAAGTGGGTATAAATGGAATGTACCTGATAATTAAAAAACATTTTTGACAAAGTAATAGCTGACATCATACTCAATGGTGAGAAGCTGAAAGCTTTTCCTCTAAGATCAGCAATAATGCAAGTATGCCCACTCTCACCACTGTTATTCAACAGAGTACTGTAAGTCCTTGCCACAGCAATTAGGCAAGAAAACGAAATAAAAGGCATCCAAATTGGTAAAGAGAAGTAAAACCGTCACTATCACTATTTACAGATGACATAGTATTATATATAGAAAACCCAAACGACTCCACCAAAAAACTATTAGAACTAATAAATGAATTCAGTAAAGTTGCAGCATGCAAAAGCAATACACCATTATTTGTTGCATTTCTACATATTAATAACAAACAATCAGAAAGAGAAATTAAGAAAATAATCTCATGTACAATTGCATCATAAAGAGTAAAAGACCTGGAATAAACCTAACTAAGGAGATAAAAGGACTATACTATGAAAATTAAAAAACACTGATGAAGGAAATCAAAGACGACAGAAACAAATGCAAAGATACACTGTGAACCTGGATTGGAAAAATTAATCTTGTCAAAATGTTCATACTATCCAAAGCAATCTATAAATTTAATGCAATACCTATCAAAATAGCAATGCCATTTTTCACATAACTAGAATAAACAATCCTAAAATTTGGGTGGAACCACAAGAGACCCCCAAATAGCCAAAGCAATCTTGAGAAAGAAGAACAAAGCTGGAGATACCATAACCCTGGATTTCTAACTACTACAACACAGCAATTAACACAGAAGGTACTGGCACAAAGCAGACACCCAGTTCAAATGAAGCAAACACAGAGCCCAGAAATAAATTCATACTTGTATGGTCAATTAACCCACAAAAAATAAGGAGGCAATATACTAAAGGGAAAAGACAGCCTCTTCAATAACAGTATTGGGAAAACTGAAAAGCTACAAGCAAAGAATGAAACTGGACCACCTTCTCACACCATACACAAAAATAAATTCAAAATGGATTCAAGACTTAAATGTAAGACCTGAAACCATAAAACTCTTAAGAGGAAAACACAGTCAATAAGCTCTTTGACACTGACCTATGCAAAATTTTTTTGGATCTGTCTCCTCGGGCAAGGACAACAGAAGTAAAAATAAGCAATAGGGACTACATCAAATTAAAAAGTTTTTGCACAGCAAATGAAACCATCAACAAAAAGAAAAGACCACCTACTGAATGGGAGGATATAATCACAAATGACATTTCTGATAAGGGGTTAACATTCAATATATATATATATATAAAGAACTGACCCTCTAAGATCAGTTCTCACACAGTATCAAAAAAAAAAATCCAATTAAAAAAATGGGTAGAAGACCTGAACAGACATTTTTCCAAAGAAGAAATATAGATGGCAAACAGGTACATGAAGAGATGTCCAATATGACTAACCATCAGGAAAATGCTAATCAAAACCACTAGATACCGTCTCACATCTGTCAGAATGACCAGAATCAAAAAGACAAGAAATAACAAGTTTTGGCAAGGATGTGGATTAAACAGAACCCTCAAACACTCTTGGCAAGAATGTAAACACTCTTGGCAGCCACTATGGAAAACAGTATGGAAGTTCATCAAAAAATTAATAACAGAAATAGCATATAATCCAGCAACTCCAATTCTAGGAATTTCCCCCCAAAAATGAGAACACCAATTCAAAAATACATCTGCACCACTATGTTCACTACAGCATTATTTACAATAGCCAAAATATGAGAACAGCCTAATGTCCAATGATAGATAAAGAAGATGTGGTGCACGCGCACACACACACACATGAAATATTATTCAGCCATAAAAAAGAATGAAATCTTGCCAGTTATTACAACATGGATGGACCTAGAGAGTATTAGGCTAAATATAATAACTCAAAGATAAATACTATATGATTTCATGTATATGTAGAATCTAAAAACAAAACAAATAAGCAAGCAAAACATAACATAAATAGACTCAATAGATAAAGATATCAAACTGATGACTGCCAGGGGGAGGACAATTGGGGATGGACAAAATATGTGAAGCAGACCAAAAGGTACAATCTTCCATTTATAAAAGAAATAAGTCATGGGATACAATGTAAAATATAAGGAGTATAATTAACAATTAACAATAATGTAACAACTTTGAATGGTGACAGATGGTAATTAGACTTATTGTGGTCATCTTTTCATAAAATATATAAATATCAAATCACTATGTTATATACTGAAACTACTATAATATTGTATGTCAATTACTCCCCAATAAAAGTTTTATGCCTCTAGAATGATAAGTATTCAGTCTCACAAACAATTGCACATACAATGCTCCAAATGTACAAAATGGGATTATATAAAACTATAATGAAGAAACTTATTTTTTAATAAGATCAGAGGAATTCTAAAACACAAAAATGAGGCAACAAGTAAAATTTGTATTCAATAATAATATGCACTTATGTTTTTTAAAAGACTCTTAAGAATGTCAATATAGAAGCTTTTTTTAAAAAAAAGCAAAGGAAAATCTAAACTTTATATATGAATTTAGTATGAAAAAATTTCTTTTTTACTATTACTCTTGTATAAGCTAATACAAAAAGTCTCAAAAAGCACACCTCAACACAATTCTGTTCATGAAGAAAGGGAACATTGTGTTGACTACCTCTGACTTCTTCTCCTTTTCTTGAAAAGTCCTTGGTCACATATGGCTCACATTAAAGTCAATTTTCATGTCTCAAACATATAATTCCCTAGTAGAAAGCTTTTGAAACCAAACACCCATTGTGGCAAGACCCTAACTTAGGTACCTGTTTGCTATATATTTTATGCAATTTTCCCCTCACTAATCACTATGTACAGCTAGCCCCTAGACCACCAAAGCATAGGACCACCATAAACACAAACAGGCGATTTAAAATAGGAAGAAAACTGTTTAAAATTTGTTCTACTTAGAGTTCCTATATAAGGAATGGATTACAGAGTTACAAAAGGAATACCAAGTTATCCAGCTATCTCAATTGAAGTATAAGACTTTCTGAAGGTCACTATGAGTTAAAAAATCAAGGCAAGAATACAAATACTAATACCCAGGACAACACATGATACACCTACAGAACCATGAAACATTTATAAGGAAATTATGACCGAATGCTATTTCTGCCACAACCTTACCAACTTAAATAGATCCTATATATTGTATGTCATCACAGTTTTCTAAATTATAGATAGCACATTCTCTGAGAATTGTTTATTTTCAAAGGGATGAAAAAAGTATTGTACAAATATGAGACCTTGTCTTTGAAAATCACTTAATAGAAAAAGCATTTGAGTATAATCAGAATGTATGTGGTGTGACTTTCCACCACCTATTTCCTGATTTCAAGCAGCAGCCGTCAATTTTTATCAAGGAACTGAACCCATCCTTAATCAGATCATGTATTTTAGAGGCTTGCGTGACCACCATGTCTGGAAAATCTGAAAAATACCTCCCACACAGATGGGCATATGATGCAGTCAGAACCAATCAGCAACAAACAGACTAAAAAAAACTTTGGCTGGAAATATTCAATACAGGCACATGCTCCTTTGCTGGATTTAAAGCTGTGAGAATGTGAAGGTGGAGCAGCTGTTAGCTACCACAAAGAAGAAAATATATGAAAACAGCCAACAGAAGAACTAGGAATTGGAGACAAACTGGGTCCAATAGCCATATTCTGAACCTCTCTACCAAGTTCTGCTAAAACTGCCAGTTTACATGAGCTTATTTACTCCCTTTCATGACATAAGCCAGTCTGAAGCAGGTTGTACAATACTAACAACGAAAAGAGCCACCACTTGTCAAAAAATTTTTTGACTTTTTCCATGAACTGTTGACATGATAAAAGAATACTATACTTCTAGTAATTTAGTCCTGATTACACAGAAAAATTGTAACAGATACTCCCTATTTCTGCAAGAAATCTCCATTTCCAAAAAAATAGTAATTTTCAGTAATTCTCATTGTGATAATTGGCCTCAGCATCAGTAACAGATACTAATATAGAATTTCTTCTCCTTTTCAGTGCATTTAGGTGACTAAAGTCACCCTAGTCGTATTTGCTCCCCTCCAACTCATAACAGTAAAAGTAGAATTCTTCAATAAGATTAGCAAGTTATTAAGTCCTGTAAACCATAATTTGGGACAAACTATTAAAATCATCAAGATTAAAATAAAAATTTGCTATTATGAGCTTTAGAAAAAGTTCCAGAAAATATAAGAAAAAAAAAAAAAGTGAAAATCTTGATTTGCCACTGGATGACATAGTATATAGACAGAGATGATATACCTAATCCTTTTGGGGTGATACCACTTCGATCCTGAGGATTCACTGCCCAGTAGTAGTACTTCAGTGTATGCATGATGAGAAGCACTGTTCCAACTCTCCGAATGGCATTATATATGTTAACCGTACCAATGAATTCCGTGGATACATAAGTATAGAGTGTCAACTGAACCTAGAGAATCGAAATAAAATGTTTAAATCAAAGAAGCAGACCAATAATATCCACTAGTTGCTTGGATATATTTGGTCCAGAGCTTGATTAACATCCATATTAGAAGATAACACATACCCACTCACACACACACACAATAAACACACAAACTCTTTACAAAACTAGACCAGGTAAACTCTTCTCTTACAATACCATTAAAAGTAAATACCCCCAAATATATCAAAATTTTATAGCACTATTTCATGGAAATAACTCACTCTTATTTAGCAATCAGCAATTATTCATAAGCATGTGTAACTTCTTTATAATAAAGTTATTACTTATGCTTTGCATAGTTGTTTTAAAAAGCTAGGCAGTTTCTTTGTGTTGGAAAAAATCACAAGCTAAAATAACTCCAAAGAAAGAAAAAAAAAATTTACTCAAAAGAAAAAAAAGGAATAAGAGAAAGAAAAGCATACCAAAATATGTAGTTTACCTTAAGAAATATGTTAGAAAAGCAGAATTGTTATAATAGCTCATTACTACAAAAGCTGTAATTATAATTATAGCATTACAGTCTCTAAACATGTTTCCATGTCTATCAGCTACTTCCCCCAACTAGGAAAGGATTCTCCATATTTCTAAATAGTCTAAATAAATACGTAAGAACATACTAGTTTCAAAATATAAGCTCTTACTACTTAAGAAAAAGAAACTGAAGTGCTATTACACCACTGCACATTTCATTTAACACAAAATTTCAGTGAAATCACAGCTTTACCATTCTTCAACAGCTGTACTCTACTACTTAAAACAGCACAGAGCAAGGATGGCCTCTGCTCTGCTCATGTTGAAATCAAGAACTTTTCATTTTGTTGCTAGTGAATATACTTTATAAACTGAACATTATGCAGGGCATATAAGCTGTCCCACTGGCCAAGGACCAGTCATTGAAAACAGAGCAAGTATGTTACCTTCCTGAACACTGAGTGCATTTTCATTTTCAACCACACTGGAAACTTCAGTGATACCTGATGATTTCTTTAGAGAGTGACAATTAGGTCCCTATCATCCAGATGCCCTATAAATAACCAAGACTAAATGAATTAGGGAATCAATCAGTAACCATGCATGTCAAAGAGTAGCAGACTCCAAACCACATAAACTGAGGCTTATAAAATGAATACAGTTTAGAAAACCTTATATATTGAATAACCCATTGACTTGCTGAAAGATAATATTATTTTGATGTAGCTACTGCTGTTCCAATGGATAAGTCCAGTTTAGTTGTCACTGAGATTATATAACTCTTTCTATGACATGGTTCCAATTCTTAGCCAGGCTATTTCACTCAGTCAGGAAATATTTATATCTGTCTGTATAAAAGCACTGTATTAAGGAAATACAGTGGCATATACACTGTCCCTCAATAGCTGAAATCTAGTTTAAAAGATGAATAATACATATAAATTTACGTGAAAAACCAAAAGTAATAAAGCACCTGGAAAGTAAGATAAATCATGAAGCAGTATGTAATTAATTGCAAAATGAGTGGCATAATTATTAAATACTGTGAATTCAGAAGCCAGAGAAATTAAAGATAAGCTAAAATAGTCAAAAAGCTTCACTAGTAAGATAGGTATCAAGGTAGGCTTTGCAGATGAATAGTAAGATAGGCAGAACAAAAAAGGAAATTTTAAACAGAGAAAATCTTGGATGATACAAAAGGTTTCCCTAGATCTAGAAAAATGTTCCTCGATCCTGGCTGTACATTAAAATACTTGAAAAACATTTCTAAAAAACACTGATGCCTAGGCCTGATCCCACACCAATTAAATTAGAGTCTGGGGTGGAGACAGTGGGATTCATTTTTGGGTTTTTAGTTTTTTTCTAACTTCTCCCACCTGATTTTATCAACAGCTAACATTGCTGATGACTGCTCTAGGACAACCTTTCAGTATCTGCCTAACGTTGGAGCCTAATTCAGTTTTTAAGATAAAAAAACTAGAAAGAAGAATTGGCATTAAGACTTACTGCTAGAAAAGGGACTACTTTATTCCAAAACCACTGGGAAACTATTAGGACTTTGGGGACTAAGTAATGATCTGATAGAGTGATATGTTAAGAACATTTAAGAATTCTGGCCCAAAAGTGATAAAGACACAGATAAAGACACAGAAAAAGGCAGTCTCTTGAGAATGAGCCTGTTGTAAAAGAAAAATAAATAGAATTTAATAGCAACACAGTGAGAGGAGTAAGAATGGAGACTATTTTTCATAATTAGGAAAAAAACCTTTCCTTATCTACTCATATGATCTATAGCCACACAGATCATATGTGTTAATATCTGTGGATAAAATGAGAGTTCCTGTGGCCAGGATTCTCACCTGGCCCTGGTTGACTAGCCCACTGCACACCTGTGGGCAATTTGACTCTGTAAAAAAGAGTTCCGCCCAGTGCTCTGGGCACCACACGGTGGCAGGGCTGCAAGGCTGCAGGAGAGCAAAGCAGAGGCTGAAATGGTGGCAGCGCTGAGGACAGAGGCACAGAGGATAGCTGTGTGGGACAACTGTGCAGAGAGGCCTGGAGGAAGGCTGTGCGGGACAACTGTGCTCTGGGATGGCTGTGCAGACAGAGGGGCCCAGAGGCAGAGACTGGCTTGCTGCATGGAGACTCACTCTGAATGAACAGGATTTTAGTGACTGACCTGCCACCTGGAAATAAAGTTGGGTATAACCCTTTCACCCCAAGAACGTTTTGCTGTCATTTTCTTTGGTCACACTGAATCCATAGAGAACTTGCCCGGGGCTGAAACTCACTGGCAAGACAACTGGCATAGTCAGCAGGGTTCACTGTTGACCAAGGAAAAGGGCAGGCTGCCCTTATGGGATGGGTACTTCAGCGGGTTGCCTCTGTGAATGGGGAAACAGTGGATCGTCCCCCAATAGGTATGTGGTCTGAGGTGGCTTGCCTCCTAGAGGACTGGGCCCCACCCCAAGACTGGAGGCAAGTTGAGGTGACACCTGAGGCAGTAGGGGTGGCTCTTGATATAGTAAGAAGATCCTTTGAGAAGCAGAGGGCCCATGAGGCAGCCGGACTGTGGGTTGGCTGCTTCTCACAGTCTTAAAAAGGTCTGCAGAGGAGACCCAAGGAATGGCAGCACGAGAATGTGAGCTGCAAACTTCAGTAGATTCCCTGAGGAGGGAAGTGGCATTGTTGCAAGAGGTGGCACGAGAATGCGAGCTGAAGACTTCTATGGATGCCCTGAGGAGGGAAATGGTATTGATGTGGGAGGAGGCGGCACGAGAGCACTGGCAGCAAGGTGCCGCTGGAGACGAGACGGCAGTGCTGCCAGGTGCTCTGAAGGAGGAAGAGGCCATCAAGGAAAAGGAAACACTCCTGAGGGAAGCACAGGTGGAGGTGGCACGAGAACATCAGCTGCAAAGCACTGAGCTGAAGGTAAGAGACCTTCTCAAGACAGAGGTAGCATTGCTGTGAGGCACAGTAGAAAAGGTAAAGATTGCAGCAGAGGAGGCACTCAGGGGAGGGCAGAGAAAGGTGCCATCAGCCCCAGAAATGGAGGAGCTGAGGAAGGATGAAGGGGCGGTGCCAAAGGCACTGGCAACTCCTGTATGGAAAGCACGCCCAGTGGTTGTAATGAAAATAAAAACCCAGCAGCTGAAAGTTCCCCCAGGAGAGGAGCAGCCCCCTCCCCAGGTCATGGAGCACTCTATGCTCTGCCCATATTCTCAGGCTGAGCTGGTGGATTTGGGCTCTGCAGTTAAGGCAGAAGCCCTCGGAGTCAATATCAGCTTGGCTCCTGCGTCTATGGGACTTAGGAGTGAATGGAATTGTTCTGTAGGGATCAGAGATGGGAAAGCTGTCTTCCCTGACAGTGCAGCCTGCCTTGAGGAAGCCAATCCAAAATCAGACCCCAGGGAGTCACTCCCTCCTTGATTGGCTTATGGCTGCACTTCGTGCTGTGTGGCCCAATCCGGGTGATCTGCCATCCTCTCCTGTTAGATGGCAGACATGTGCTGAGCTCCAACAGGTGCTACAAGAGGTAGGCATAAGAAATGCCATCTATAGTCCAGAGAAGTATAACCCAGATGAAGAGATTTTCACTACTGGTATGAGAAATACTGTACTTCAAATGGCTCCTACCTCCCTCTTTGGGTCTCTAGTGGCCATTCTTTCCCCTCAGTTAGGGCATCCCATAAGCTGCATACGTACAGTAGCAGACTTAGGAGAGGCACAAGCAATGAGAATCCAGAAAGAAATAAGACCTGTTACTCACAAGAAGAATTTACATGGCCCCGTGAGGGTTACAAGGACCCAGATGTGGGTTGATTTGATAACGGCAGGAGTAGATGGAAGAAATTAGACGGGAAGCCAAATAGGATCTTACTGGAGCTATGGCAACAACTGAAACCAGAGCAGCAGTTCCAGCCATTAAGACTAAAGAGGTAGAGGTCAGAGACAGAGCCATGAGTCTGGCCTGTGTGTCTGCAAGACTTTTTGCTGGAGAGGCTGGAGAACAATGTTCAAGCTTCCTTACACAGGGACCATTGCAGAGGACTAAGAGCACATAGATTGAGAGGAGAGAATCCTGGAGGGGTGGAGTGTGGATAAAATGAGAGTTCCTGTGGCCCTGGTTGACTAGCTCACTGCACACCTGTGGGCAATTTGACTCTATAAAAAGAGTTCCACCCAGTGCTCTGGGCACCACAGGGTGGCAGGGCTGCAAGGTTGCAGGAGAGCAGAGCAGAGGCTGGAGTGGTGGCAGCACTTAGGACAGAGGCCCAGAGGACGGCTGTGCGGGACGACTGTGCTCTGGGATGGCTGTGCGGACAGAGGGGCCCAGAGGACGGCTGTGCAGACAGAAGGGCCCAGAGGCAGAGACTGGCTTGCTGCATGGAGACTCACTCTGAGTGAACAGGATTTTAGTGACTGACCTGCCACCTGGAAATAAAGTTGGGTATAACCCTTTCACCCCAAGAACGTTTTGCTGTCATTTTCTTTGGTCACACTGAATCCATAGCAAACTTGCCCAGGGCTGAAACCCATTGGCAAGACAATATCTGTGCTTCCATTAGATCTAAATTCTATGAGGGCAAGAATTAGATGTGCTTTGTTCACAACTGTGTCCATAGAGGCCAGCATAAAGTAGTCACTCAACAAATGAAGGATACTGTGTACAGGAAAATTTCATCTCTCCTGTTAGGTCATTATAAAGACTGTCTCTGAGCAGATAGAAGATACCTACATATTATAAAGTCACTGTGAACACCCTTTTCTAAAAGCAAATGTTAATTCATACATATATATGTTCAACTTTTGTAACCTTGGAGCTAATGAAGTTAAACTTTTTGTCCAATAATCTATACAGCTTCCTTCCAAGACACTAAACATAATTTTGTATGCATTATGTCATATTCCTTTTCTTAAGAAACTACTCCCTCCCCCAAACTCTATGGCCTTCTGTCAAACATCTTTAAATTTGCCTTTTGTTATAACTCTACTCATAATAAAATAGAAGTAGATATGATCCCTCACAGATAAACAAAGCAGACAGCTGAAACAAAATTTAATATTACCAAATCAATTGCAAATTCTAAAGAGGAAATTAAAGAAAATTATTCAAGAAGGTAAGAAATGAAGTACAGCAATACCAGGAATGTAAGGGAATGACATAACGAAATTTTTAAATATTCCTGTACAATTAAGTATCTAATAAGGTTTCTGACTACATCAAAAGAGACCCAAAACCCTACAAATATACTGCTTAGTAAGACAAAGAAGTGTCTAGTAAAAAGTTTATAAAGTAACTTGAAACAATCCTTGAAAAGAAGTAAGACTGAGGGTCATAGAAGAGAAGGAGGTCAAATTTGAGCCCAGAGATAAAAAGCTACAACCTCCAGCTGCCTCCTTTGATTATTTCCAAATGGCAATCACATCAGCAGCTGTTTTTCTCTTTAACATTTGAAAAGACCAGCTGAAAACAAGATACTATGAGTCTAGAAAAGCAAAAAAGTCAGCATTTTTTTCTGACAACTAGAGTTAAGTATGTGTTATTCCAAACTAGACAAAGATAAACACTGAAAGTGGACCAAAAGGGAGAGGGAGAGACAGGAAATTAAGGGGTTTGAAATAACACAACTCCTGAAAAAAAAAAAAAAAACCGCAGATAAGACAGATACAATTATGTAATGTAATAAAAATTTTGCTGTTTCAAGTTCTGCTTAACACTACTAATATTAACATTTTTAGGATAATTTAATACATTAGGACTTATCAAAAGTTTTATTTATATGCTTTATCACAAATTCACTTATATTCACTTAGCAGTAACTGGTTTGTTCTTATAGTATTAAATTATTGTGTACAAACAATTATATTTAATAATTTGAATTACTGTGGAATCAAAATTACATGAGACCAGTATATCTTGGAAACCTTCAAGTGAGGCTGACATTTCAACAGTTCCTGTACGAATTAAAAATCAGGAATTCATCATGTTGGTAAAAGGAATGTATGTATAAAGAAGAGGGAGAGAGAGCACAGTGAATTAAGGAATAAAAAAACATACATATAAGTTGCAACAGTAAAGAGCTACTGTTGATAGGAAACACTGTATTTACATTGGAACTGTCTAACTTTATTTGTATTTAGTAAACCAAAGTCTCTCTCAAATAAAATTTTGATTTAACAGACAATAAAGACTATAGCTCTGGTTTTTTAAAAATACTGACATTGTTTTACAAATAAAGATACACTGATTTGCAAATTCACCTAAAAAGAAAAATAGCCTGCTTAGTCAAAAAATGCTACCCATAAAATCTTACAGGATAGCATTTAAAAGGATAAAAGAAAATCCTCATAATTATTACTCTTCCTAAGTACAAAAACAAGTGAAGATTGGAAAACAAAATCAATATATATATATACACACACACACACACACACACATTACCTTGGCTGGGGTATGAATCCATATAGCTGGATTAAGAAGCATGTGATCACACAATTGTTTGAGTAGAGGCATCCCATTCTGCAGATTACTCAGATATTTTGAAAATGCAAGGCAAAGTTCAAGTACTGCTCTGCTAACATGGGATTTGGAAGACTGAAGAAAAGTAGAACAAAGGTCACTACCAATACAAGTGAAGTAAATTAAATGCTGTCAATACAGGGAAAAAAAGTTGGCCCACAAACTATGCTCCAAGTAAAAGATGCCATGAGACTCAATATCACATCTCTCTAATAAAACAATTGTGGCAAAGTCAAACAACAAAACGTTATTTTAATTTAGGTAATTTTGTGCAACCAAAGAAACACACTTGCAGAAAGAATTTCTCAACCACTTATGAAACTAAGACCATGGCCTGCAAATTAGGAATCAAAAATATAAAGTATTTCATACTTTACCTTTTCAAGACTATATCCTATTACCAAGAAGCCCTTGCAGGCAAGCATCTGCTCCTGCATAGCAATTGAATTCTTCAACAACTCCATGATGAAAGCCAGCAAAGTTGAACTGGGAACAAAAAAAAGGCAATGGTTTGAAAAACATATTTCAGTTTTTTAAAAAGGGTTAAATAAATGCAGCCCTTCACTTATCTTAATAAAAAGTTCTCTATTTTAAGGAAATTGAAGTTCTGATAAAACTCCTTGCAATATTATTTCAGGACTAGAATTTTAATGTAAGATTATGATTTATTCAAACACTTATTTCATATACTTTATCACAAACACACTAATAAATGAATTACTTAGAAACAGCAAAACAGCATGACAAACACACAAGAAATAGAGTAAAATTAGCAATGTCCAAAAACAAGTAATAAAAAGGCTAATATAAGAATATTACGGCCTTAAATTTAGAGAACGGATTTAACTTAGCCGCAAGTATGTTGTTTTGGAGAGTTAGAGACCAGAAGGAAAAGATATGTGGAGCAAAATGCTAGAATAGAAACCCTGAAAATGCGTTAGGACTCCAGACTGGCCTAGCTTGAATGGACCAGAGGGTTCATGAAGGGGAAGTAAAGCTGGAGACATACTAAAATCCTCAAACATTAATTTAAAAGTTTTGTTCATTATCCCCACAGGAAAATCATAACTCAATAATCAGTCAAGAAGACTTTTAGGGGCTACAGCCATGCTCTCATCCTCACAACATCTAGAGATAACCCAAAATGGAATAGAGTATGGTCAGCTGTTATTTCCTTCTCAAAGGCTGAGGTTCCCACAAAGAGAAATCATGTTTGATAGCCAACCTCCTCCTCCACAAAAGTGCTTTTAACTATCAGCAATTGCAAAAAGATGTTGAAAAGTAAAAAAAAAAAAAAANGGATAACCAAGAAAAAATAACTAAGCTCTGCTCTGAAGGTTTTAGACCAGGACACACAAAAAAATTCATGCAGTAGTAATATGTCAAAGATAATTGTATTTTGATTTTTTTAATATAGTCAATAATAACCAGATTTGGTACCTTATACCTATTTAAAAAAAGTCATTTTGTTGCCTAAAAATAATCTGGAGAAAATTGTTACATCATTAAATATATACATACATTGATAGTAGATATCTAGTTATGTATAAAAGCAGAAATAAGGGAAATAATTCTAAAAAGGAAGAATGGAAAATACAATAAACTATAATTGCTATAAAGAGTTTCATTAGAATATACAGCCATGAAAAATTCATTTAGTTACTCTCTCCAACATTTTATAACTTGTCCTCTTTTATCTATGCCTTTTTTAGACTCTACACTACAATAGAAATGTGCCAAATGTACAAGCTAATTAAAAATGACTAAATTATAAATTACCCTATAACATCAAAAATCTGATTTCAAATTACATACATCAATAAGTAAATATGAAAAGCTCAAGTCCCATAATAAATCACGACCAAATAACAATTCAGAGTATTTTTTAAATAAAATGTATTCAATTTTGATAAATCCATTACCATTATTCCTAACTTTATTCAAAAGCAACTTCATTGTTTTCTAGCTTTCATTTTCCTGAAAAAGAATTTGAATTAGTAGTATTATTTATGTCTTTTCAGTAGCTTATAGTTCACAAATTTCTTTAAATTATATTCTCTTTTAATCCTACCACAAATTTAAAGAGCGAAAAAAACTGTGCAGTTCAACAGTGATGAAAATAACTCTTGTAACAAATTAAAGAAAAAAATTAATGCACTCACCATATGGTCAAATCAACTTCATCAGATAAATATTGCTTATAATCCAACTGTGCAAAAAGTGGAAACAGCACTTGTACTCCTCCAACTGAATGCATAGCACTTTGGATGGAATGTGTTAAAACTGCCGTCACATCCTTACAAAAAAGAAAACACGGTGAAGATTCTGATTATTTCTTTTCCAAAACAATTAAAAATAAAGCATTATAGGAACAATATTGCACGTATTTAATAGAATCTACCAAATACACCTCAATAATACATCAAATTTTACCATTAAAAGTATTCTTAAAAGATTACAGCTAGTACCTGGAGCATGAGTGCATGCGGTGAATGAACGAAAATTGAAGGGTTGTCCTTGGGGGATGATTCGAGGCAGAGCTGAGCGTCTGTAGCCCGGGGATTATATGTGAATGCAATGGCACTGGAGAGCTTGCCATCATACAATAAAAGTTTGTGATGCTCAGCAAGGAACAGGTCACTTTCTGCTTTGAATTTAAAAGTTCCCTAAGAATAAAAAGGTCAACAGTTAAGTACTAAGCTACAAAACAAAAACTTAGAAACAAGTCACCACAGATACAGAAATTTAAGGAGATATACTACTTATTACTTTCCCAATTAAGAGCCCTGCTTAATTACTTCTGAGGTGGACTGAATTCATTTTAAAGATATAATGGAAATCAAGGCAACCTGCTTTCAATTTATCAATCGTATGGTAATTCTATTTTTAATTTCTTTAAGAACTGACATACTCTGTTCTATAGAGCCCGTACAATTTCACACTCTCACTAACAGTGCGCAAGGGCACCAATGTGTCCATGCCCTGGCCAACACTTGTTATTTTCCGGGCTTTTGGTTTTTGGGTTTTTTCTTATAATGGCCGTCTTAACAGGTGTGAGGTGGTATCTGCTGTGGTACTTTTATGCATTTCTCTGATGATTAGTGATATTCAGCATCTTTTCATATGTTTCTGGGCTATCTGAGTATCTTCTTTGGAGAACTATCTATTCAAGTCCTTCATCCACTTTTTAAGTGGGCTACTTGGGGGAGTTCTGTTGTTGAGTTGTAAGAGTTACTATATATTCTGGACATTAATTTTATCAGATGTATGATTTTAAATATTTTCTCCCATCTCATAGGTTGCCTTTTCAATCAACTCTTTAAAGCACAAAATATTTAAAGTTTGAAATCCCAATTGTCTATTTTTGCCTTTGTTGCCTGTGATTCTGGTGTTATATACAAAAAATCATTGCCAAACTTAATGTAATGAAGCTTCTCCTCTATGTTCTCATGTAGTTCTACAGTTTAGGCCTTAATACATTTTGAGTTAATTTTGGTATATGGTGTAAGGTAAGGATCCAACTTTATTCTTTTCTATGTGGATATCCACTTTTCACAGCACCATGTATTGAAGAGATTATCTTTTTTCCATTACATGGTCTTCACATTCTCATAGGTCACTTGACCATATATGCAAACATATATTTCTGTACTCTATTCTGTTCCATTAGTCTCTATGTTCATCTTTATGCAAGTAACATAGTGTTTTGATTACTACAGCTTTACAATGTGTTTTGAAATTTTTGAGACCTTCAAATTTGTTGTTTTTCAAGACTGTTTGGCTGTTTTTGGACCCTTGAGATTCCATATAAATTTTAGGATGTTTTTTATTCTACTACTGCAAAAACTTCCATTGGGATTTTGATAGAAATCGTATTGACTTTAAAGATTACTTTGCACAGTATGCATTTTTTAACAATAATGTCTTTCAATCTATGAGCATGGGATACATTTCCATTTATTTGTGTCTTCTTTAATTTCAGCAATGTTTTGTAATATCCAGTGCACAAGCCAGTCTTATAACTTCTTGGTTAAGTCTGTTACTAAGTATTCTTTTTTATTCTACTGTAAACAAAATTGTCTTACTTTCCTTTTCAGCTTGTTCACTGGTAGTGAACAGAAATGCAACTGATTTTTGTTGTTGATTTGTATCCTGCAACTTTGAATTCATATATCAGTTCCAACAGATTTTTATAAAATCTATAGGATTTTCTACATATAAAATCATGTAATCTGCCACGAGAGATATTTTTACTTCATTCTTTTGAACTGGGATGTCTTTTATTTCCTTTCCTTGATTAATTGCTCTGGCTTGGACAGCCAGTACTATGTACTATATAGAAGTAGTAAGAGTGAGCATACTTGCCTTGTTCTTGATCTTGGAGGAAAAGCTTTTAGTCATTCACTGTTCCATATAATGTTAGTTGTGGGCTTTTCATATATAGCCTTATTATACTGAAGTACTTTCCTTTCATTTGTAATTTGTTGAGTGCTTTTATTATGAAAGGGTATTGAATTTTGTCACTTTTTCTGCATCACATGGTTTTTGTCCTTCAGTCTGTTAATGTGGTGTATTACAATAATTGATTTTCATATGTTAAACCATCCTTCCATCCCAGGAACAAATTCCAGTCATTCAGGAAGTGTGATCCTATTACTGTGCTCCTGAATTTGGTTTGCTAGTATTTTGTTGAGGATTTTTGCATCAACATTTATCAGGGATATTAGTCTGTAGTTTTCTTTTCCTGTTTTGTGTTAGTCTGTGGTATCAAGGAAATGCTGGCCTCCTCAAATGAGTTTGGAAGTATTCCCTCCTTCTTCATGTTTCAGAAGAGCTGACAAGGACTGGTGTTAATTCTTCTTTAATGTTTGATAGAAGTACCCCAATGAAGCCATTTAGTCCTGGGTTTTTCCTTATTCAGAGGGTTTATAACTGATTCAACTTCCTTGTTACCTATAGTCTGTTTAGATATTATAAATTTCTTTAATCTTGGTAAGTTATATGTTTCTAGGAATATACATTTCTTCTAGGATATTCAATTTCCTGGTTTAAAATTGTTCACAGTAATATAATTCTTTTTATATTCACAGCATTAATAGTAATGCTTCCTCTTTTGTTTTTAGTTATTTTAGTATTTAAGTATTTTAGTTATTTATTTTTTTCTTAATCTAAGAATCTGTCAGCTCTATTGATCTTTTAAAAAACAAGCTCTTGGTTTTATGTATTTTTTCCTATTGTTTTTCTAGTCTAATATATTTCTGCTCTAGTCTATTATCACTATGCTTCCCCTACTAACTTTGGACTTAGTTTGCTTTTCTAGTTCTTTAAAGTATAAAATTAGATTGTTGAATGGTGCTTACTTTTACAAACTTTCCTCTTAGTACTGCTTTCTCTGAATCCCTTACATTTTGGTATTTTGTTCCCATTTTCATTTATCTTGAGATATTTTCTAATTTCATTTGTGATTTCTCCTCTGACCCATTGGTTAAGAATGTGTTGTTTACCTTATTTGTATATTTTCCAGATTCCTTCTGTTATTAATTTCATCCCATTGTGGTCAGAAAAGATATCTGCTATAATTTCAGTATTCTTAAATTTGTTAAGACTTGTTTTCTGGTCTAACATTGTGGTCTAACAAATGTTCCATGTGATCTTGAGTAGAATGTGTATTTGATTGTTGGGTGGGGTGTCCTATATATGTCTGTTAGGTCCAAGTGGCCTATATTGTGGTTCAAGACCTCTGTTTCCTTACTAATATTCTGACTGGTTGTTCTATAATATTGAAATGTCCTACATATTATGTTGCTGCATACTTCTCCCTTCAATTACGTCAATGTTTGCTTCATATATTTGGGAGCACTGATGTTAGATGTATGTGTTTTTAATAATTTTATCTTCCTGGTGAATCTTTATTCAATTTCCTTTTTTGTGACACTTTTTTACTTAAAGTCTGTTTTTTCTGGTACAAATATGGTCAGAAATACAAATGGAGCCAAAATACTGCTCCCTTTTGTTGCCATTTTCATGGACTATCTTTTTCTATCCTTTCACTTTCAGCATATATATGTCTTTAGATTTAGAATGCATCTCTTATAGACAAAATCGGATCTTGGGTTTTTTTAATCCATTCAGCCAATCTACTTCTTTTGAGTGAGAGGTCTAAATCATTTACATTTAAAGTTATTACTGAGAGGGAAGGACTTTCTACTGCTATTTTGTTACTTGTAATTAGTCAACTAATTAGTTGCCTTCTTTCATATTCCACTGATTATCTGTTATTTAAATACTTAGATCCCTTTCCCCTCTTATTTTGTGTAACTTTTATTGGTATTTTCTTTGTGGTTACTATAAGGATCACATAAAACACTTTGAAGTTATGACACTATTTTAAACTTAAGTTCAATCACATACAAAACCTTCATTTACCTCTTCACTACCCCACTTCACATTATTGATATTACATCTTTTTATACTGTGTATCCATCATAAATTTAGATATTTTAATGCTTTTGTAATTTAAATTCTATACCAAAATTAAAAGTGATTTATACACCAACATTGTGATACTACATGATTCTAGATTTGTCTACATACTTACCTTTACCCCAATATGCAATACAAAACCAATAAAAATCCCAGGAAACTTTTTTTTTTTTAGAAATAAGGTAGTTCTAAAATATACCTGGAAATGCAAAAGGCTTAGAAAAGCCTGAACAGTTTTGGAAAAGAATGTAGTTGACGGTTTTAGACTTCCTGTTTTCAAGACTTACTATGAAGTTACAATAATCAAGACAGTACAGTATTGGCATAAGAAAAGACATATATGTCACTGAAACACAACAGTCTCAAAGATGCCAAGGTAACACAATGGAGAAGAAAAGTAATTACCAAAAAATAGTGCTGGAACATCAAGCTATCCTTACATGGGAGGGGTGGGGGATGACACTTCATAGACTATATGCAAAAATAAACTTAAAATAGATCATAATAAATATAAATGTTAAAACTATAATACTTAGACTATAATGTAAGAAAATTTTCCAACCTTGGAATAGGCCAAATTTTCTTACAACACAAAAATTGACTATAACAAAAAATTGATAAATTGGAATTTATAGTATTAAATTCCTCTCTTCCTGAAAAACCACATTAGGGAAACAAGATGGCAATACATAATGGGAAACTATTTGTAACTCATACATCTGATAAAAGATATATCCAGAATACAGTAAAAAAAATCCCAAAACTCAGCAATAACCAAAAAATGGATGGAAGATTTGAACATGTGCTTCATAAAAGAAGATATGCTAATGTCCAATAAGCAATGAGAAAATGCTTGGCACCTGTAGTCATTATAATAACACAAATTAAAAGTAAAATGAGATAATGCTACATATTCATTCAAATGTCTAATATTAAAAAAAACAGCAATTCCAATGTCTAATATTCAAAAGACTAGCAATACTAAGTATTAACAAGGATATGTAGCAAGTAGAAAGCTCATATACTGTCTGTAGTAATGTAAAATTGTACAGCTATCTTGGGAAAGAGTTTGGTAATTTCAGTTGCCATACCACTTAGCAATTCTACTCTTACATATTTATGAGATAAAAACAAGAGTCTACACAAATATTTGTATACCAATATTCACGGCAGCTTATTCCGAATAGCCAAAAACTGGACACAACTGAAATGTTCAATACTAGATGAACTGATTAAAAAGTTATGATATATTCATACAGTGGAATACTAACTACTTAATAATAAAAAAGTATTACTAAAAAACATGACTGAATCTTATATACATGCTAGGAAGAAACCAAATGCCCAGGAGCACATATTGCATAATTATATTGAAATAAAACCTTTTAAAAAATCTAATCCATAGAAGACCAATCAGTGGTTGCATGTCAACAGAATGGGCTTATCCAGTGGAAGGACCTGACTGGAAAAGAGCACAGGGGAACCGTTTGCAGTGATAGAAATATTCTATTTCTTGTTTTAAGAGTTTTACTTTTGTCAAAACTTACTAAAATATGTATACTTTACTGACTCTAATGGTATGTAAATCAACTCAATGAGGTTAATACTGTTTTCAAAGGAATATAGCCGGCATTAAATTGCTTCCTGAAACCAGAGTAATGATGTCTTTATCCAGAGGTTCCCAAATTTTCTTGGTTCATAAATTTCAGCACCTCATTAATTTTTTAAGGTGCTCTAGACCAAAATAAACTTTTAACATTCAGTTTATTAAGTACTTTGGTACAAACAACTTTATATTTTAACCATTTAGAAGCCACCTGAAAAAATAATGCAGAAGTTGAAAGAATAACATTTCCAACATTATCATAATAACAAAATTATTAATAGGATGTATATGCATTTTGGACACTGTACAAATTCTCAAACTCTGGAATCAGATTTCACACGATCATTCTCATTTCTTGTTCCACGATCATTCTCATTTCTTGTTCCACACTGATTTTCCCATGGTACTTACTTTTTATTACACCAACTGTTGAAAACTTAGCTGTGCATAGATAGGACATCATCAAAAGAAATGCAGCATGACTAAAGGTGAATCTTAAGTCTGTAGTTTGCACAGTATGACATACTGTGTTTTGCTGAAAAAATGTGAAGTACTCTTCAGACTCCTGTGGCTTCCCTGTGGTGCCCTTGGTTACTCTGACATACAGTTTGATAACCCAAGATAAGTTGTACCATGCATCACCCACCTTTTAAACACGCTCAACTAAACCCTGGTTAAGCAATAAACAGCAAGTAAATAAGTACCTTGTATCCCAGGCCCAACTGATAAATAGCAAAGATCTGAGCTGCATTAAGAGCTTCATTAAAAAGGTAAACTGCAGTCATCTGACCACAGAACACTCTGTTAGCATCTGCTGTTTCTGATGACCCCAGGAAACATTTGTCAAAGGTCTGTGAAAGAAAAAAAGAAGACAATTTTTTTTTCTCTAGTAAAATCTCTTCCAGAAATAATAACCTATATTGGTATAAATGTTTTGTCCATTCTAAACTATAATCTGAATAGATTAAAATAATTCATTTAGCTTTTCACTTCATTATCATCTGCTGTAGAGATCAGGAAAAATATAACAGAAAAGGAGATAACACAAGTTTTTCAAAGTACAATAAACAAAACGATGTCAAAGTGGATGTCAGAAATGGAGTCAGACAAATCGTTATGGACCCTGATGGTTCACGCTTGAGCAACCAAGGAATGAGAGAGAAAAGCAGACTTTGGAGCAGCAAGAAAAACTGAGAGTTGTTTGGGACATAATGAATCTGCCTTTTCTGTGAGCTAATATGGATGGAGCTAATGTGGATGAAGAAGCAATTACTAACAGGGTTCTGTAAACCTGGTGAGAAGTTAAAACTGTACACAAGTTTTTCCAAACATCAAGATATAGATATGGTGAAGTGAGGAGGAAATGCAATCTCTCAAAAGAAATGTCCAGAAAAGGTGTATGGTGTCTTCTAACATAAAAAAAATCCTCTTAAAAAAAATCCAGGTTGCAAAGACTACATTTTAAAAAACCCATGTGTACAACAAGAAGGAAAAGAATGAAGTTCTTCACATCTCTTTAAAAGTATCACTTTATGCCATGAAACCATTAGAAAAATGTTGAAAAATAAATGTGTATTGACATTATGGAATATAGAAATTGGTAACACTTGGGTTCTAAAACAAAACACTAAGTCAGTTTACTGCTTCATGTGCTTGACATTGGCAAGTTACTTAACCTCTCTGCTTCAGTTTCCTTATCTGTAAAAAGGATATTATTATAATAGTACTTACCTTGCACAGTTGGGCGTTTTAGAAAATAAGGGTATTGATTACAATGTCAGGAATACAATAAGTACTCAATAAAGGTTAATGTAAGGAAAATATAGGTTAAAAACGATACACATATGTGAGCCCCTTTTTGTTTAAAACAATGACAGCAGGTATTTATTGAGCACTTATTCTGCGTGAGGTATTCTGTTAACTGATTTATGAACAGTTAATCATCACATTAACCTTCTGAGACAGGTACTCATCTCATTTAATTATCACATTAACCTTCTGAGATAGGTTCTATTTTACAGCCACTTTAAGTAGAGAAAACTTAGGTATAATAAATTAAGTAAAGTCATATAGTCAGTAAGTAAAAGAGCTGGGATTCAAACCTATGTCTACCATTACAACAATGTGGGCTCTTTAAGTTAGCATTACCCAATATGTATAAATATGTAGCACAGGATCTGAAAGGAGGATTTAATGGTAAATGGGTGGTACAATTTTTAATTATTTTCCTGATGTATATTATTTTTCTATTAAAAATGTAATTGGAGAGAAAAAAAGAACATTTTAATTTAATTCTCAACCATGGATCTCATTTTTAATACTGAAAACATAATGTAGTAATTATCTATAACAGCTGTAAATTATCTAGAAACTTTTTTTTTTTTAGAAATAAGGTAGTTCTAAAATATACCTGGAAATGCAAAAGGCTTAGAAAAGCCTGAACAGTTTTGGAAAAGAATGTAGTTGACGGTTTTAGACTTCCTGTTTTCAAGACTTACTATGAAGTTACAATAATCAAGACAGTACAGTATTGGCATAAGAAAAGACATATATGTCACTGAAACACAACAGTCTCAAAGATGCCAAGGTAACACAATGGAGAAGAAGAGTAATTACCAAAAAATAGTGCTGGAACATCAAGCTATCCTTACATGGGAGGGGTGGGGGATGACACTTCATAGACTATATGCAAAAATAAACTTAAAATAGATCATAATAAATATAAATGTTAAAACTATAATACTTAGACTATAATGTAAGAAAATTTTCCAACCTTGGAATAGGCCAAATTTTCTTACAACACAAAAATTGACTATAACAAAAAATTGATAAATTGGAATTTATAGTATTAAATTCCTCTCTTCCTGAAAAACCACATTAGGGAAACAAGATGGCAATACATAATGGGAAACTATTTGTAACTCATACATCTGATAAAAGATATATCCAGAATACAGTAAAAAAAATCCCAAAACTCAGCAATAACCAAAAAATGGATGGAAGATTTGAACATGTGCTTCATAAAAGAAGATATGCTAATGTCCAATAAGCAATGAGAAAATGCTTGGCACCTGTAGTCATTATAATAACACAAATTAAAAGTAAAATGAGATAATGCTACATATTCATTCAAATGTCTAATATTAAAAAAAACAGCAATTCCAATGTCTAATATTCAAAAGACTAGCAATACTAAGTATTAACAAGGATATGTAGCAAGTAGAAAGCTCATATACTGTCTGTAGTAATGTAAAATTGTACAGCTATCTTGGGAAAGAGTTTGGTAATTTCAGTTGCCATACCACTTAGCAATTCTACTCTTACATATTTATGAGATAAAAACAAGAGTCTACACAAATATTTGTATACCAATATTCACGGCAGCTTATTCCGAATAGCCAAAAACTGGACACAACTGAAATGTTCAATACTAGATGAACTGATTAAAAAGTTATGATATATTCATACAGTGGAATACTAACTACTTAATAATAAAAAAGTATTACTAAAAAACATGACTGAATCTTATATACATGCTAGGAAGAAACCAAATGCCCAGGAGCACATATTGCATAATTATATTGAAATAAAACCTTTTAAAAAATCTAATCCATAGAAGACCAATCAGTGGTTGCATGTCAACAGAATGGGCTTATCCAGTGGAAGGACCTGACTGGAAAAGAGCACAGGGGAACCGTTTGCAGTGATAGAAATATTCTATTTCTTGTTTTAAGAGTTTTACTTTTGTCAAAACTTACTAAAATATGTATACTTTACTGACTCTAATGGTATGTAAATCAACTCAATGAGGTTAATACTGTTTTCAAAGGAATATAGCCGGCATTAAATTGCTTCCTGAAACCAGAGTAATGATGTCTTTATCCAGAGGTTCCCAAATTTTCTTGGTTCATAAATTTCAGCACCTCATTAATTTTTTAAGGTGCTCTAGACCAAAATAAACTTTTAACATTCAGTTTATTAAGTACTTTGGTACAAACAACTTTATATTTTAACCATTTAGAAGCCACCTGAAAAAATAATGCAGAAGTTGAAAGAATAACATTTCCAACATTATCATAATAACAAAATTATTAATAGGATGTATATGCATTTTGGACACTGTACAAATTCTCAAACTCTGGAATCAGATTTCACACGATCATTCTCATTTCTTGTTCCACGATCATTCTCATTTCTTGTTCCACACTGATTTTCCCATGGTACTTACTTTTTATTACACCAACTGTTGAAAACTTAGCTGTGCATAGATAGGACATCATCAAAAGAAATGCAGCATGACTAAAGGTGAATCTTAAGTCTGTAGTTTGCACAGTATGACATACTGTGTTTTGCTGAAAAAATGTGAAGTACTCTTCAGACTCCTGTGGCTTCCCTGTGGTGCCCTTGGTTACTCTGACATACAGTTTGATAACCCAAGATAAGTTGTACCATGCATCACCCACCTTTTAAACACGCTCAACTAAACCCTGGTTAAGCAATAAACAGCAAGTAAATAAGTACCTTGTATCCCAGGCCCAACTGATAAATAGCAAAGATCTGAGCTGCATTAAGAGCTTCATTAAAAAGGTAAACTGCAGTCATCTGACCACAGAACACTCTGTTAGCATCTGCTGTTTCTGATGACCCCAGGAAACATTTGTCAAAGGTCTGTGAAAGAAAAAAAGAAGACAATTTTTTTTTCTCTAGTAAAATCTCTTCCAGAAATAATAACCTATATTGGTATAAATGTTTTGTCCATTCTAAACTATAATCTGAATAGATTAAAATAATTCATTTAGCTTTTCACTTCATTATCATCTGCTGTAGAGATCAGGAAAAATATAACAGAAAAGGAGATAACACAAGTTTTTCAAAGTACAATAAACAAAACGATGTCAAAGTGGATGTCAGAAATGGAGTCAGACAAATCGTTATGGACCCTGATGGTTCACGCTTGAGCAACCAAGGAATGAGAGAGAAAAGCAGACTTTGGAGCAGCAAGAAAAACTGAGAGTTGTTTGGGACATAATGAATCTGCCTTTTCTGTGAGCTAATATGGATGGAGCTAATGTGGATGAAGAAGCAATTACTAACAGGGTTCTGTAAACCTGGTGAGAAGTTAAAACTGTACACAAGTTTTTCCAAACATCAAGATATAGATATGGTGAAGTGAGGAGGAAATGCAATCTCTCAAAAGAAATGTCCAGAAAAGGTGTATGGTGTCTTCTAACATAAAAAAAATCCTCTTAAAAAAAATCCAGGTTGCAAAGACTACATTTTAAAAAACCCATGTGTACAACAAGAAGGAAAAGAATGAAGTTCTTCACATCTCTTTAAAAGTATCACTTTATGCCATGAAACCATTAGAAAAATGTTGAAAAATAAATGTGTATTGACATTATGGAATATAGAAATTGGTAACACTTGGGTTCTAAAACAAAACACTAAGTCAGTTTACTGCTTCATGTGCTTGACATTGGCAAGTTACTTAACCTCTCTGCTTCAGTTTCCTTATCTGTAAAAAGGATATTATTATAATAGTACTTACCTTGCACAGTTGGGCGTTTTAGAAAATAAGGGTATTGATTACAATGTCAGGAATACAATAAGTACTCAATAAAGGTTAATGTAAGGAAAATATAGGTTAAAAACGATACACATATGTGAGCCCCTTTTTGTTTAAAACAATGACAGCAGGTATTTATTGAGCACTTATTCTGCGTGAGGTATTCTGTTAACTGATTTATGAACAGTTAATCATCACATTAACCTTCTGAGACAGGTACTCATCTCATTTAATTATCACATTAACCTTCTGAGATAGGTTCTATTTTACAGCCACTTTAAGTAGAGAAAACTTAGGTATAATAAATTAAGTAAAGTCATATAGTCAGTAAGTAAAAGAGCTGGGATTCAAACCTATGTCTACCATTACAACAATGTGGGCTCTTTAAGTTAGCATTACCCAATATGTATAAATATGTAGCACAGGATCTGAAAGGAGGATTTAATGGTAAATGGGTGGTACAATTTTTAATTATTTTCCTGATGTATATTATTTTTCTATTAAAAATGTAATTGGAGAGAAAAAAAGAACATTTTAATTTAATTCTCAACCATGGATCTCATTTTTAATACTGAAAACATAATGTAGTAATTATCTATAACAGCTGTAAATTATCTGCAAAACTTACAAGTATGTGTCATCTAACTCATTTATAAAAATGATAAGAATGCTACAGGAGAGCTCCCAAGTTTAATTTGATCAATGATACACTGACACATACCAACTGTTACCTGTAAATCCTTATCTCTGCCCTTCCCAGAATAATTTAATAACAAGGACTAAGTATTATCTTACATGACACATTAAGAAAGTTCTACTCTATTAATATATTGACATGCTAGTCAAATTATGATTACAAAAATCTACTTTTGTGATATTCTACAATTTATATTCAATGTAAAACACATTTTTTTTCTTATTTGAAAATCCCATGCTTTTAAAACAATTTTTTTCTCATTGTAACACTTTCAAACTACTTACATCACTGGTGTTGACAAACCAAGTTATCTCTCCATAGGAAGCGAGCTCACCATTCACATAACATCGAAGCTCACTATTCTTCCATCGGTTATAAATGTGCACTATAGTTACCATATACCACTGAATAGGCAAACAGTTAGAAAAAGAAAAAAAAAAGATAATTATCCTTGCAATAACTCAACCACAGTAATAACAAGTAAATGATAAATTAACAACTAATTATAAAAATAAGACCACTTTTATTAAATTCAGTATTCAACCTCTGGAACAATATTTGCAAAAGTGAGCTCTTAACAGATAAGAAACTGTTTATCCAACTTCTGAAAATTTTCAAATATAACCAAAAAAAGTAAAGTTTAGTACAAACACCCTCTTTTCCACCACCTAGATTCCACGATTGTCAATGTTTTGCCATATTTGTTTTATCTATCTACCTATCTATATATACACACATTTTATTGAAAAACCACTTAATCTCTAAATTTTAAGGTACAAAATGCACATACTACTACTACTACTACTAAAAATTGCCATTGATATTTTGCACTACTATTTCCCTTAAACTCTTTAACTATTACCTTTTTTTATAATCCAAATCAGAGAGGTTAACAACTCTCTAGTGATTTATACTTCCTTTTCTGATACAATACAGCATTGTGATTTACCACATACTATGCTAATAACATTAAAGTCAAGCATTCTGAGGATAGCCTAGCTTGCTAACACGACTCAAAAGATCACATACCTTTTGTGGCTTAAAATCAAACTTCACACAATGTTGAAAGCCTTTTCCTTTTGACTTTATTGATGTTATAATCAAACAGCCCCCAACAAAGTGAGCAGAATAACCAAGACCTTTGCTGGTTCTGAAACTACAAAGAATAAGTTTTCATTTCACCTCTAAATGTCCCATTTTCAAACTAAGATGATAACACTACATTACAGAAATACATACCAATACAAATATGGTTTATCCTTATCGACATTGATGTTATTTACAGGATCCATTCTAAGCCAGGTATGAAATGTAAAACCATTCTGGTATGGCCATTTGGCTATAGGAGGTAATGCAATAGCCTAAAGGGAAAAAACTGAGTTACTGACTCATGAAAAACTTTATTATTAAAATCATGAAAATGAGACTTTACAATGCTATATGTGTATATATGTATTTCTACTATTATTATTCTATGTCATGATTAAAATATACAGAAGTCTCTTTATCTGGTAAAAGACTTTCAAAAACTTTAAATTTTCCAAGATACTTAACACATAATGGCAATTTAATTAAACAAGGGAAGCATTCCTTATGACCTGCAGGACACAATAATCTTGCGTACTTCATTTCTTACAACAGCATATCCAAAAATATTCCAATTAAAAGAGATAGATAGGTAATGATATATCAAATTGGAAATCTGTTGCTAAAATGTGAAGGTTTAGAGTAGAGAACATGGACAAGAAATAAAAGAAGTTAAGAAAAGACTTGGAATTATTTTTTAGCCACAAATATAAAGCTGAAGAGGATTAGTTCATACCATTTTTTTCCTTAACATTTTAAAAGTTCAGTCAGAAGTCACTACATAAATGACTACCTGGCTTAAAGTTTTATGTAAAAGATCACAGTACATAATGCAAGGAATCCTGAACAGCCAAAACAATCCTGAAAATGAAGAACAAAGTTGCAGACTCACACTACCAAATTCAAGACCTACTCAAAGCTACTATAGTGAAGACTGTGTGGTACTGACATAAGGATTGATGTCTAGATCAATGGACTAGAATTAAAACCCTTGAAATAAACCCTTATATTTGTGGCCAATTAATTTTTCAGTAAGAGTATCAAGGAAATGCAATGAGAAAAGAATAGTTTTTTTCAACAAATGTCCTGTGATGACTGGATATATATACAAGCAATAGTATGAGGCTGACTGCTTCCATACCTCACATACAAAATTAACCCCAAATAGATCACAGATCTAAATGTAAAAGCTAAAAACTATAACTCTTAAAAGAAAAAAATAGGAACAAATCTTCATGACCCTGCATTAACCAAATCCTTCTTAATTATACTACAAAAGCACAAGCAAAGAAAGAAAAACACATGAATTGGAGCTTATTATGACCTTTATGCCTTAAAAATACCATCAAGAAAATGAAAAGACAAGCCAAAAGACTGGAAGACAGTATTTGCAAATCATACATCTGATAAGGAATCTGCACACAGAATACATAAAGAACTCTTCAATTTAGTAACAAAAGGACAAATGCAATTTAAAAATAGAACAAAAGATGTGAATAGACATGTCTCCGAAGAACATAAGCAAATGGTCAATAAACACATGGAAAATGCTCAACATCAATAGTCATTACAGAAATGGAAATCAAAATAACAATGAGATACTACTTCACACCCAACACAATGGCTATAATCAAAATGACACATTAACAAGTGTTGGCAAGCATGTGGGGAAGTTGGAAACCTCATCAATTGCAGGTGAAATTGTAAAACGACACAACCACTTCGGAAAACAATCTGCAAGTCCTCAAATGTTTAACGTAGTCAATAAGCAATTTCACTCCTTACTCATAATAACCCAAAAAGTCCAAATAAACTCAAATATCCACTAATTAATGAATGATTAAACAAAAGACAGCATATTCTTACATTAGAAAATTAGCCATTAAAAAGGAATGAAGCACTGATACATGCTACATGTATGGACCTTGAAAACAGTATGCTAAGTAAAAAAAAGAATCACAAAAGATCAGATATTGTATGATTGCATTTGTACAAATTCTCCAGAATAGACAAATCCACAGAAAGTACAGTGGTTGCCTAGGCTTGGAAAGGTGGGCAGAAATGGGCAGTGACTGCTAATGAGTACAGGGTTCCTTTTGGGGGTGATGAAAATGTTCTAAAATTTATAATAATGACGATTGTACAACTCTAAACACACCATGCCATTTAACTGTACTCTTTAAATGAGTGAATTGTATGGTATGTAAGTTTATAAACTCAAAACTGCTTTAAAAAGATCATACCACATAAGCTTTCATTTTGTTACATAACTTACAAATCATTTATGAAGATATATCCTAAACACACATATATTCTTTTCATGTTTAAGATTTCCCAAAAAACATGAAAACATAATAAAGCCAAATTAATGTAATAATACTATTGAGACTTCAAGAAGCTGATTTTAAATGAATGTTGGTTTAAGAAAAAAATTAAAGTATACACAGTCAGGGTGTATATATATATATGTTCCCTCTCACCAAAAATTTAGAGTAGAAGATGTGAAAGCTTTGTAAAAATAATTTATACATGAATTTTTAACTTCCCTTTAAAAGCTATGTTGAAGGAAGAGTCAGGGAATATATTTAGAACATCTATTCTCTAAAAATTCCAAAAGCTGTTTAGCTGAACTGCCCACCTCCAATGTAAATGCCAATAAATGGAATGGACACATTACAATCTCAAAGAACTATAAATAATAAAATTACAACATGCATTTTTTTAAAAGGTTAATCTTATGAGAATACTTTATGTTAGAAGCAAATGATAGGCTCAATGCTAAGAAAGTAAAGGTCTTCTGGAAAGCTTCAAATCTAAAATGCTTATTAAGGAAAAAGTAAAAGGGAAGAACAATATAAGCAATAAAAGTTTCAAAAGAAATATAGGTATTGTGTGTGAAACATTCAAATATCGTTTTAAGACATTCTTTTCTTTCCGAAGTTATTGCTTGGCTACACAGGGCCTAACAAAGAAGTAAGATATGATATTATGAGAAGCAAAGTAAAAAATGATTAAAAGCTCATAAAAAAACAGGTTGAAATACCTTCAAAAAATGTTTCCTTTTAACAGGCAGACCAATGTAATAATGAGAAGACTAAAAAGCTTCATAACATATGTACATTATATAATGCTCCCTACAACACATTGGAACATTACAAATATTACTACCATACAAAACTATCTTATTAATAAACTGATTAACAACTTAGAAGAATGCTGAGACTGATATGATATGAAACTCACAAGTTTGGAAAAGTTGCCAGAAAATTTCAAAGAGTTCTCTAGACCATGTGCAAAGGAAACAGGAATAGGGAAATGCAAGGCTAAAGAAAGATGTCCAGAAAGGTAGAAAGTGAACACATTATACATTCTGTATTTGAGAATGCAGAGATAAATTCATAAGACAAAATGGTTTATCTTCAAAAGAATTGGAATCTTATTCCAATGCTGCTATCAGCTGTGAATGGGCAGCTTTCTTAAATACTTTGAGCCTCTATTTCTTCACCTCTGAAAGAGGAAAAAGTAACGTGCACAACTGCTGTATGGACTAAGTTAGGTGATGCAAAGAAGGTTCTATCTAACAAAGAACCATCAGGGGAATTCACAGGAAGCAGAGGAAAGAACTCCAAGTGATTTCCTCTTTAGGATTTACTTACCGCAGCACTTTTTCCTGGAAAATTGAAAAAGGCATCAGGACCATACTTCTGAGGCATATGCTTTAACACAGACAGCAACTTCCCAGCATGTGGAGGCTATGAAAATAATCAATAATACAATCACCACATTATTCACCATAAAACAAAAATACTTATTTTCAAGTAGGTATATTTCAATATACCCAAGAATAACCAAATAATGGTATAATCTAAAAAACTTAAAATAGCCAACTACTTTAAGGAATATATAAAGCACTGTAAGGCATTTTTTTGTAATACTATAGGATGAATGAGATGTTGGATAAATATGAGCAAGTATCATCTGAAATTCTGAACACTGCCACAAAAATGATCTTTTAAAATTACAAGCTCCATCAACCTACCACCCATCCCTCTTTAAAACACTTTTAAGTTTCACAAATGTTTACTATGTTGCACTCTTAAAAGCACTTTAGAAATAAAATATGTTAACTATATAACCATCATAAGCATGGTACTACTATTATCCTATTTTGTAGAGGAATCTGAGGCAGAGGAACAAGTCCAAGGTCACACAGGTAGGAAAGTGAAAAGGTGGGGATCACAACTCAGACTCCAGATTCCATGCTTTTAACCACTATACTTTCATCTTAATATTACGTTATCTCTCCTGTAGCTTCCCATTGCTTCTAAAATAAAGACCAAAACCCTAACTATAACCTAAAAAATACTTAATCTACCTTATTAGACTCATTTTGCATCTCAAGTTTCCCCTTCTCTTTGCTCTCCATCCACAATGCCTTCTCTGTCTTCTTCCCATAAGGAGGCATGAGCACAAGCTATTCTTTGTGCTTAAAAGTTTCTCACAGGCCAACTCCCCTCCCCTCTTAACTAAATAAATTTTACCTGTCTTTGAGAACTCGTCTTAATGGTCACTTCTTCAGGGCAGTCTTCCCTGACCTCTGACACTGGATCAAATCTCTCTATCATATTTAATTTTACAATAATTCCTCTACTATATAGCATGTATAAAAGTTATAATACCATATTTATTTGAGCAATGTCTCTTTGACACATGTCTACTCTAACATAGGAAACCAACAGCTAAAATGAAAAAAGCTCATTTGCACTTTAAGAACAATCAGATATGCATTACCATTTTAATCAGTTTGCAAAAAGGATAAAGTATAGTACCTTCCTCTTTGTTAAAAGGTAAAAGTTCAAAACAAGGTCAAACTACAATTGAAATCACTGGCTTGCCTTCATCTTATTTGGAAGCTGCTCTAATTACCACTAGTAACTCTAAAAGAGTTTGGCAATCCTTTACCTAAGTGTTAAGTGGAAAGCTACATTAAGTGATTGAGAGATTTTCAATTTAACAACACTGCTCAGTTATAAAACTTTAATAACAAGTAACTATTATCACACTGATTTTTAAAAACAAATTCCTAAATGAAATAACCAAAAATAACTCCGCAGTCAAAAATAAAAATACAGTAGAATAGCATTTCCATCTAGACAAATCATTCCTCAAAATTTCCTTTTTTATCAATGAAAACAACAAAAGAATAAGCATGTCCCTCCAGACACTGCTAAAGGGACTATATATTTGGAAAGCCTGTCAGAAAATAATTTGGTAGTCATATTTCAAAAGTCTTCAAAATACAAAAATCTGAGCTAAATAAGAAAAGCAGATATAGGTTTAGAAACAGGAATTTTTCCCTGAACTGACATGACAACAAAAGCTAAATAAATATAATAAATTTGGCCTTGTTTCCTTAGTAGTTTATTATTTTTTCCCCTTAATTCCTAAACCTCATTCTACTCCCAATCTCGTAAGCAACTATGTTAACATGTTTAATCATTCTATATGTCCCTCAGAAATGTTTGTGTAATTGTAATTTAAATGACATTGGGTTAGCTATATCATTGTTACTTTCTTCTGTCTTTGCATCTATTCATTATCACTCTATGTACTAATTCTAACTGCTATATAATGTATCCTATGCATCTAATACATTTTATCTACCTAATGATAAACACTCATGTTGACAATTCACTGCCATCAGAAATAATTCTTTAGTGAACATTCTCAGGTATATTTCTTTGTGGTATACATTGAGAATTTCTTGGAACATGCACTCAAGAGCAAATTACTAAATCACTGGATATGGGTATAATCTATGTGACTAAGTAGCACTATATTACTCTTGAGGTTCTCTCAACTATTGCTCATTCCAACCAGTAGGCCACAGGTTTAAAATAACCATATCCCCCAATTATACTTGCTATTATCCAACTTTATAATCCTTGATACTGATAGATATAAATAACATATCAATATTATTTTAACTGGAATGTCTCCAATTATTAGTGATTTTGTGTTTGAATATGAGGTTCCTATTTCTGTAAATACCCATTCACATTCTTCTATTTTCTTATAGTTTTCTAGATTAACCAATATAACAAAAATATATTAATTATATGTTCCAAATAAATAATTTGAATATAAATAAAAACTAAAATACACAGAAAGCCGTGGCTTACATTGGTTTGACTCACAATTTTTCAACTTTACAATGGTGTGAAAGCTATATACATCCAAATGAAATTGTAGTTAGAATTTTGAATTGTGATCTCCTCCGGGGCCAGCAATCTGCAGTATGATACTCTCTCATGACGCTGGGCAGCAAAAGTGAGACACAGCTCCCAGCCAGACACGTGATCGTGAGGGTAAACAACTGATGCACTTAAACCATTCTGTACACATACAACCATTCTATTTTTCATTTCTGGCACACTATTCAATAAATTATATGAGAGAGTCAACACTTTATTGTAAAATAGACTTTGTGTAGGCTGATTTAGCCCAACTGCAGGCTAATGTAAGTGTTCTGAGAACATTTAAGGCAGGCTACTAAGCTATGTTGTGTAGTAGTTTAGGGGTATTAAATACATTTTCGACTTATGGTATTTTCAAGTTAGGAGGTATTTATCAGGGACACCCATTTTAAGGCAAGGAAGATCTGCACTTCCTCTTCTGGGCATGACACAGTAACAGGACTTAGACTTACCAACACACTGTAAACAACTAGAGAACTGGACAAAATGTATAAAACAAAAACTGTTTCTGGACATGGAAAAAAATGTGGCTCAAGACTGCTGACCCTTAAGAAAGGGAAACAAAATGAACCATGAGATTACCCAGACTTTTCTCATAGGAGCAATTTCCATATTGCATGGAGAGAAAAATCAAATAGAACTGAAGGTCTCATTTAGTTGATGAGGCAGAAATTGGAATATGAGTATTCTCAAATGGACAGCTCAGGGCAGAGAACTACAGAGTAAAGAACTATGCAGGCAAGAAGCTCCAGAAATGTGCACTGAGTCTTTGGCTATGGTTTGGTATACCAAACCATACCTACCATAAAACTCAACAAAGTGAGGCCACAATATTGACAGCTTAAGTCAAAGACTTCCCAGAGCTGATATAGAGCCAAGAATTGTTTGAGACCCTAGTAGGCACTGCGGAGAGACCACATTCTTGCACTACTTCTTGCCCCGTGTCTAAGACTTAGGTTCATTCACAGGGACCCTAGAAGAATCAGACCTGAAATATGGCTAACCTAACCCTAGAGTAACAAACAATCCAGAACTGACCCAAAAAAAAAAAAACCCTTTAAACCAGCCTAAAAGGATAAAGTTGACTCATAAGTAACTTATTTGCCTGCCTAACCAGTCTAACAATCTTAAAGAATATGATAAAATCTAGTACTTAACATGGAACAATTAACTTTGTCTAACCTCACAATAGGGAAAAATCACTAGCCTAAGAAGCAGGAAAATGTGACTACAGGCAAAATCAATGAGAAATCAATGAGTAAAAGCCTGATCTAGAAAATGACGACAGATGGTAGAATTAGTAGACAAGTACATTATAGTAACTATTATATTATAAATGTACTAAATACTCCCAAGGACTTAAAGGAAAACATCAACATAATGAAGGAGAAATAAAGTTATTAAAAAGAACCAAACAGAATTTATAGAAATAAAAAAATTGAAATTTTTAATGGATGAAATGAACACACTGAAAAGGAAAAGATCAGTTATCTTAAAATATCTAAATATCTTCAATTTAACCCACTCAGTAAAAAAAAGCCCTGGAGTTAATTGGACCCACCCTCCTCATACCTCCAAAATATCTTAAAGCAATCTAAAATGAGGCACAAAGAAAAAAGTCTGAAAGGAAAAAGTTAACAGATCACAGTGACTTGTGGGACACTATCAAGAGGGCTAACATACATGTAACTGGAGTCCCAGAAGAAGGCACGGGGGGCGGGGGGGATGATAAAGAAATAATGACCAAAATGTTTCCAAATTCGGTGAAAATTACATAAACCCACAAATGCAAGAACTCTAATAAGGATAAATACAAGGTAAACTACATCAAGAACAAAGTAAAATTGCTGATAATCAGTCATAAAATTTTAAAAGCAGCAAGAGAACTAAAGTTTGATACAAAGAAAATGGTATATAACTGCAAAGCACAAATTTAGATATACTTAGGCCTAGATTAAGAATCAGCTGGCTGAGCAGTTGCTGTGGCTAATGATCTCTAAATGGCACTAAAATAAGCCTATAAATGTAAAAAAAAAAATGGAGAAAATATTTACTAGTATTCCTCTAAGGGTAAGCAAGCGATGGAAAGAAACAATTTGATAAGGCACCTGGAGTTCAAATAAGTTCACCACCACTACAATCCATTGCAAAGGACCACTAAATTGTAGCTAGAAGAGTGGATCCAATTACCTGCAGAACTTTTGTTCACTGAGTGGGTTAAGTTTAAGAACCACAGCTAAACTACTCAGGTAAACAGAATGAGAAGCTCAGCACTGCTATCTAACACTTTCCTTTCTCTGTCCTTATACTTTTCCTCTAATAAATGATGAATGCATATTTGAAGAATAACTATTTGAAGAAAGACCAAGTTATTAGCCTGCTTGGAACACCTAGTTCTAGGTGTACACGTCGACATGGCAAAAGCAGCTACATCAGCCTAATTGCTATCTTAGTTGATCTCTTCCACTCAGTTTGACATTTTCCCCCCTGTGTAATAATATCAGTTGTTTATAAGTCACTAATGTGTTTGGGGAGAGGGATACTTTCAAATACCAAAGAGTATTCAGGTTTGTTTGTTTTTTTACCCATTGTCCTTTATCTCCTTGAAGTTTACTGAAGAACAGCTTTAGTTCTCGAACTGTCAAATTATAGCTAGCCAGCACTCCCAACATGTCAACTAAAAGATCTGGAAACAAAAGAAAAAGTAAAATTAAACTACTTATAGTTCTTGAAGGTTTAAACTACACTGTGCTTACGTAAGAGTTTGGACAATAAAGTTTCAGGTACATGTTAGATGCTCCAAAATTTAATAAGTTATTACTAAACTAAATGAAAATACAGTATTTAATAATTTCAAACTTTATTTCTTCCCATCCATAGTACTACAGAAAAAGTCATACCTGCTATCATATTGCCAACTTTTTCAATTTTCCCAAGCACTTTTTCAACAAGGCCTACATCAGTGCAGACTTGAAGATTTCGTATGCTTTTCTTCAGAATGGCTGTAAACATGCTCCAGACTTCTGCTTGGCAAGTAATATCACATTTTTCTAGTAGGTCCACCATGCAGATGATACTCTCACCTTCTTGAATAATGAAATTCATTTCCAAATCAAACTGCCCTCCAACCAACTTCCAAGAAAGGGGGAAAAAAAAAGTAAAAGTATTATTGCTTCTTCAATATAACTATAGCACAGTTTCTACGCCTTACATTAGCAATATATACCCATAGTCTTCTCTACCCGTTACAGTAAAAGGGTCTTTAAACACGTACACACACATGCACGCATACACACACACACACACACACACACACACACACAGAGTGGTCTAAAAAATAAAACTTCTGAAGAAACCTTCAAGTTAAGACAGTACAATCAAGACTTAGAATACAACAATGGAAATATTTTTCAACAAAAACAAAAAATGCCTTAGATAAATCACTACCTACTGACCTGATACAAATGAAGATTTAACTTTGCTCTATACTTACTTCTAATTCAGCATTTCATTTATGAATTATGAACTCTGCATACTACCCACAACAGCCTTAGGCTCCTTTGCTGTATCTATACAAGTTATCAGCTCACAGCAAAAATGAAAAGCTGAGAAAATCTCAGAGTAGACACAAAACAGAGTTTATATTTCTCAAATTCCTGGTTTACTGTATCTATCCATTTTGATTCCTTCTACTACCCTGTCAATAATCAGGATAGCTTAACTAGTCACACACCCAAAGTCAATAATCAAGAAAATTTATCTTGATTTTTGACTATCAGAAAATCCATCCACAGAAAACTACTGACCCCACCTTGCCATCTCACCCATGGCATTCTAAAACTGAGGGAAAGTTTTTACATTTTCACAAACCCTAATTGATTAAAGGAATTAAAATACTTCAGAATTACCTTTGCAGAGTTATCCTGGTTAACTAGATTTTTTAAAGATCTCTGTCATTAACAGTTACATACATGATTCACCTACACTCCTGTCCCTGTAAATACTTCTTGGTTTTTGATCATGCATTCCTAAACCCAAAAGGTAGGCAGTAATTAGGAGAAAGGGAACTTTACAAAATAATCCAACTAATACACATGACCATAGAGTTTATTCCAGAAAGCAATGAAGGTTCAGAATCAGAAAATCTATTAAAACTCCTTCCAGCCAGAGATCAATATGGGTCCCAGGTTCTGCCAAAGACACACAGTTTCATGAAAAAGAAAAAATGGAAAAATGAGCAGTATGAGGTAGATCTGCACTCTGGGAGGTAAGAATTCCTGGCAAACACAGCAGTAAAGAGATTTGGGTCCTTCAGGAAAGCTCTAGCAGAGATTTTAGTGTATAATTCTTTGTGCATTATCAGTAACAAGTAGAATAAGTAGATGACAGCTGGGTTTCTGCTAAGAGTCCCTTGGTGTGATTGTGCCAATTCTCCCAGCTACGTGATCTTGAACATGTATGCTTGGTCCCCCAATCCACCCATAAATTCTGTAAGGTTTTGGAACTGTGATATAGGTGCTTTTTTTTGGTTTTGTGAATATTATGTGCTTGTTTTGTCTTTAATTTCGATCCGTAAGTAATCTCAAACATTAAAAAGTTGCAAAATAGTTTAGAGTTCCTGTATACCCTTTACCAAACTTTCCCTAATATGAATATATTACATAATCATAATCATTAAAACCAGGAGATTAACATAGATACAGTATTTTAACACATCTACAGATCTTACTAAACTGTTGCCACTTGTCACACTAATGTGCTTATTCTGGTCCAGGATCAGCACCCTATAGTCTTCTCCACACTGAACGACTTTCATGATTTTGACTTTCATAATTCTTTGGCTTTCATGATTTTGACACTTCTGGAGTATACTTGTCATTTGTTTTATATATTCTTCCACTTTGGATGTTTCTTCATATTTAAATTTAGATTATGCATTCTGAGCAAAAACATCCCAGAAGTGATGTGTGTCCTTTTCAGTGTGTCATTTTAGATGGTACCTGATGTCAGCAGGTCTCACTATTGCTGAAGTTAACTTTGATCACTTGTTTAAAGCAGTGCCTGTCAGATTTTTTCCATTTTAAAGTTATCTTTCATTTTTTAATTACAACATATCTTGTGGAGAATACTTTGAGACTACATAATTATATTGTTTCTCAACATACTTTTAAGCATCCCTTGATGGACCTTACCTGCAAGTGTTATTACCGTGGCACTGATACATGGTGATTTTTTATTTCTATTATACTTTATACACTTATTAATCATAAAAGACTTCCTTTAATAACACAACACACCTGAGAAGCCAGCATCGTGCTTAACAGAAAAATTGGAATGATTTTCATGAAAGTCAGAAAGACTAGAATGTACTATCATTTGACATTATTCTACAAACATACAAGTCACGTGCAGTCAAAGGAAGCAAAATGGATATATATGATAATTTTATTTTCAGATTATATGATATATATCTGGAAAACTGAAGAGTTTCAATTGAAATTTTACTATAAATGAGAAAAGTATTTGGTAATGGAACTATTAATACAGTTAATATAAATCAATCTCAAAAGAATTATGCTAAAAAGTTGGACACAAATGGCTAACAATCAGAAATTCATTCTATTAACAAAAATTTATTCTATACATATACGTAGGTAATAATGTTAGATATAAGAACTTCACTGAGCATTTTTTATATAGAAAAGAGAGGAAATTATCCCCTTCAAAAAATTGTAAGGTAGTAGTAAAGCTGTGTATAACTATACAACAGAACACGATGCAGCCTTTGAAAAGAATGATACATCTCCAGTGACATGACAAGATCTCTAAAATACATTGTTTAGGTATGAAAACCAAGGTGGGAAAAGTTTGAATACTAAGCAACAATTTGAGTACAAACACTCAAACAGACATATACCCAAGAATGATATGCAAGAAACTAAATAGTGATTGCTTCTGAAAAGGCAAGTGAGCATAGGGGGCAAGAGGGAAAAGGGAGAGTTTTATACACACACACACACACACACACTTGGATATCCTCCACACAGACCTAAATAGGTCAAAAACCTAGCTACAACTAACTTGAGGCTTTACCTTTACCTTAATATTACTTGCATCAATCTTTCATTTTGATCTGTTTTTTACCATCAGTAACCCTTCCAAGAAGCTACAGAATTAATTTTTGAAAGAAATTTCCACCAAAACCCCAAATATTTCAACAGCCTTCTTACTGAGTTTATACTGTGAGAGCAGTATCCACACAGGTGTTTTAAATATTTATCCATAGCTTTAAATATTACAAAACATGCTTTTCAAGGAGAAAATTGATGGCAGAAATTGGTACATAGGAATATGTAGCATAGTTGATATACTGTATGTATGCATATCTATTATATATAAAAAGCATGCACAGAGACTACAGTATGTCATGTTAACCCTTTCTAATAGTTATTTGAAGCTGATCAACCTTCAAACACAAATTTGTTTCCAATGACAAGGATCATAATCCAAGTCCAGGCTTTGGCTAGTTATTATCTGAGCTGTAGTAATGGCTCTGCACTACAAAATGTAATCTTCCCAAATGTCACAGTAAGTTATGAATATCTGAGCAGCCTAATGCACTTTACTAGCCATGAAATGTGAACATGTAATCTTATTACCTTTTTTATGGTTGTATTTTTTTGAATAATGTAGCCTAGAAACTGATGTATAGTCTTTTTCTGCATTTTAGCATGATTTGGTCTCCTTGCTATATAGAACATTTTTCAAAACTCTCCATTTCAACATATTTAAGTCTTGGGGTGAAGTTCATAAACAATTTTTATAGCAACCTTCAGGGTGGCATAACATGCTTTCTATAGGTTATAGTTTAATGTACAATATTATAGAAATTTTAAAGCATATTACTCAAAGAATTCAAATAAACCTTCCCAAGTCTTGTATTAGCACTTTAATTGGGCATGATTATTTTTTCTCAATGGTTACATTAATGAATGTTTCAAGCTGAAATTAGTCACTAAACCTAACTCACTTGTATTTCCAGAAAACCAAGAAACACAGAGACCAAAAATAATTATTTTCTCTTCAAAAGATTTATAATACTGGAAAAACTATAATATAAAGAAAATGATAATACTTAAAGTAGTGTTAGTGTTTTCCCTGGAAACACAACTTTTTCCTCAAAAAATGTGGTAATTTTTCCTCAAAAGGTGTGGTAAGAGTAAACTAGCAGAAAAACTGGACAGAGTACAATCACAGATTATGCCCCAACTAGATTTTTCTGTATCTTGTAGCACATCACTTTTTTCTCTGGACCTATTCATTTGTAGAACGAACTAAGAGTAAGCTTCTTTTATTTACAACATCCTTCAAAACATATTTATTTTTTCAAAGTGCTAATCTCAAGGTATCCAACTTATCCTTAAAAATCCATTCCTAAGTGAATATGATCTTATACATGTTTTAAAGTCACCAGATATTTATTAATAAGAAGAAGTTGAGGAAAAACTATAGTGCTCTGGATGGACCACTAGTTTCCCAATTTACATTTTCTTCCTCTTCCACTGTGAAAGAGTTTCGTACATGGGGACCAGGCAAAGGACCACTTTCCAGCTTTCCTCGAAGTTACTAGCTATGTGATCAAGTTCTGACCAATTAAGAAAACAGTAATATGTGCAACTTCTTGGTGGTACTCTTAAAAATAAGGAAATTAACTTCTCTCTGAAAGATGCTGAAATAATGCCAAGAGCTAGAATAACCATCTTAGAATCCATGCTGAAGTCACATGTTAAAAATAACAAGCAGAAAGATCTATAGATCCTGACAGTTATAAAGTTGCCTCAGTAGCCCTGGACGCTTTCAACCATATAAATTTTCACCTGTAGGACAAATACACTTCTACTTCATCGAAGCCACTGTTACTTGGGCACTCTGTTATATCATCCGAAAACCTATATCCTGACTAATATATATGCTAATCCTATTACTTGCATTTTCTCAGACATTGAAAAAAAACATTTTTAACTATCTCAAGTGACATACCTCATTACCACTTCTTATACTAGGTGTCAACACAACAAGGTCAGCTCACCAACAGCATGTATTTTGACTTACTTTTAAGAGATAGTGGTGTG